CCAAAACCCAGCCTTAAGATAATGAGTGAGACCTCACCGAAACGTTGCCAAAAGAATCTCAATCTTACATGGGAACAGAGCCGAATACAACAAGACCAGCATACCTACACCCGTGAAAATCTACAAAAACAAATATCTTACCTCTACGGGGAGGAAATCTTCCTGCTCACCAGATCCTATGAGAAACTTGAAGTCCGAAGAGCCACCATCTTATGTGACCTCACATTCCTACATAACTGCTGAGACAAAAGCCCCACATGCTTCCAACTAAAATCCCATTCAAAAACCTCAGCCACCAAAAGGATCCTGAAAAGAACTGAATTTGCCCTAATCAGAAACAAACTCCACAGAAAAAGATTCTAGATCAAACCAACCAAGACCTACTCACTCTTCACCTCAAACTCAGCAACAAAATCCACCCAGCACTCTGGGACAAATCCAAACAAATAGCCCTCTGGAGAGCAGAAACAGAAACCTCCTACAAGACAGACAGACACACCAACAAACTCCACAGAAAAAGATTCTAGATCAAACCAACCAAGACCTACTCACTCTTCACCTCAAACTCAGCAACAAAATCCACCCAGCACTCTGGGACAAATCCAAACAAATAGCCCTCTGGAGAGCCGAAAGGGAAACCTCCTACAAGACAGACAAACACACCAACAAACTCCACAGACTAGAAAAACAACAGAAGCCCAACCCTCTTCAACAGCAACTCATGAAACAAACTGTACACAACATATCACACAGAAACCTCACCACAGCTGAAACCAATGTCCTTTCCAGAGGATTCAACTTTGCAGTCACCCCTAAACGCTTCTCCACTGAAGACATCATATGCAGAGTTGAAGCTACACTCACCAAAATCTACCCAGATGAAGCCAATAAAATCAGACTTGCAGTCAGCAATGTCCTTTACTCCAGTAATCCACCCAGAAGCAACTTATAGCAAAAAGAAGAAATAGCACTCACCAACCCGAGGAAAGAAAATAATATAATAATTCTTCCAGCAGACAAAGGTAACGCCACAGTGGTGATGAACACAGCTGACTACCAAGCCAACCTATTCAACCTATTCTAAGACCCCACTTACAAATCTCTAAACACAGACCCCACCACCTACCTGGAAAAAAAACCACCAAATCCAAAATGAAAGCCTCTCCCATCAGCGAAGAGATCCAGCAAAGAATCATCCCCAGAGAGAAATCTTCCAGGTGCCCCCAACTGTATGACTTCCCCAAGATACACAAAGAAGGAACACCACTCAGACCCATAGTCAGCTCCATAGGCTCACCTCTACAGAATCTTGGCAAATTCCTCCAACCCTATGGAGAATCC